GCTCTTTGTATTGCTTCCAGAACTCTCTGAAGGGCTGGTTTGTGGACATGAATTCCTTCAGCCTATTTATGTCATGGAAGATTTTTCTTTCCCCTTCGACTATACTAGACATTTTGGCTGGGTATAGTCACCTGGGTTGGCATCTGTGGTCATTTCAAATTTTCTCATTTCCCAAATGTACCCTTGTACAGTAATGTCTGTCTTGTGGATGAATCTTATTCCTGTCATAAGTCAGCTCAAATCTCAGAAGCTTCTGATTTTTTTCCCTTTTGCAAATATAATACACTTTGTTGTTTGCAGTTTTCTGTGTTCCAGTGCATCAGTGACACCTCCATTTCAGGATGTGTCACACTATCGCATAATTATCTCTCTGCTTCTCCCATCACATGTTGAGTTTCTCAGGACCAGAGCTTAGGAACTCTCAGCACCTCACATAGCCTGCTTGGCACATATGTTTTCACTGCATGAAAGGGTAAGGATGTCTATGATAGCATAGCCAAAATTAATTAATTATTTAAAAATAAAATTTAGGGGCCGGGCGTGGTGGTGCACGCCTTTAATCCCAGCACTTGGGACGCAGAGGCAGGTGGAGCTCTGTACGTGGAAGCGAAATCTCCTGAGGACAGTGCAGGAAGGACAGTTGTGCCAAGACACTGGCATAGCAAATCAAGATGATTTCCAAGATATACAGATTACAAAATAAAATAAAATAAAATTTAGGGGCTGGAGAGATGGGTCATCAGTTAAGAACACTGACTATACTTGCAGAAGACTGGGTTTGAATCCCAGCACCCACATGGCAGCTAACAACTGTCCATAACTCCAGTTCCAGGGGATCCGACAGCCTCTTCTGTCCTCCATGGGCATTGCATGACATGGGTACACTTACCTACATGCAGGCAATACATTGCATACACATAAAATAAAAATAATAAATAAAATATTAAAAAATAAATGAAATTTAAATTCAGAAAGATAACCATACAAATAGATTTTTTTCACAATCTTATATAGCCTAGTCTGGTCTGGAACTTGAAATTCTCCTACTTCAGCCTCCCAAATGCTAGGATTATAGGCATGAGCCATCATGTCCAGCCCATGAAAATAGATTATTTTAAGAATCATTGGTACCCATCTCCGTTATTTCCATCTGGTTCCTTCCTTCTTCAATTCTATTTAGTTTTCTCTTACTGTATCTTAGCTCCATCTACACTTCTAACAATACTGTCCATTGGAGTCTAATTTTATTAATACATAGTTCCTTCTTATGTTTCTGAAAAGCATCCTGAGCATGAGAAAAACACTGGACTGAGAGTTGACATCCTATGAGTTGTAGGTCACTAAATTTTTTTTTTGAGACAAGGTTTCATGTGCCTCAGGTTGGCCTCAAATTTCCTACATAGTTGAGGACAACCTTGAACATCTAATCCTCCTGCCTCTCCTTCCTGAGGGATGAGATTACAGGTGTGTCTTTCCCATGCCCAGCCTATGTGGTCCTGGGGCTCAGGCCCAAGGTTTTGTGCATGCTAGGCATCCTCAGCCCTCAGGTCAGTAATATTAGCATAGATGTGTGCTAGTATCTACTGTGCCCCAGATACTGATCTAAGTGCTTACTTAGAACAAAAAATACAAGGTTCCTGCATCCTGAAGTATGTATTCAATTAGAAGAGGAGCACAGTATAACAAATGTCATAAATACTTTGGAAGATGAGGATCACAAGTACCTTTTGGGGAAAGGAATGAAGGAGGTAGTATAAATTGCACTTTTAAATGGGAAGATTTCATTAAGAAGGTGAGATTTCTGGGGCTGGAGGGATGGCTCAGCGGTTAAGAACACTGACTGTTCTTGCAGAAGACCCAGGTTCGAATCCCAGCACCCACATGGCCGCTAATAACCGTCTGTAACTCTAGTACTAGGGGATCTGACAGCTTCTTCTGTCCTCTGTGGGCATTGCATGACATGGGTGCACTTACCTACATGCAGGCAATATACACATACACATAAAATAAAAATAATAAATAAAAATTCTTTTTTAAAAAAAAATGAGATTTCCAGACAGGAGCCCATCATGGATGGAGGAGGTAGGCAGGAAGTCCCTACTCTAGCTGAGAATCTATTGGCAACTGATAGGTGCTGGGAGAGGGAGAGTCAGTTTTCTTCACTGGTGTGACACCTGGTAGTATTCCAACAATGCTAACAGCTGGAACAAAGGCACTAAGGGCGGGTATTATTGGATGTTGGGAGGAAAGCAAGGACAGCATGACAAGAAGGGAGAGTGTGGTAGGTGAGGGAATCTCAAGGATTGGCAGGGGCTGGGTGATGCAGAGCCCCTTAATCTGACATCATGGGAATTTCAGCTCCTACTCTGACTGACAGGAGCATCCATAGCAGACTTCACTTAAAGGAGAGAAGTGGCATGATTTGACTTGTAATCATTTGGTTACTGTGTTTAAAAGGATTGTGAAGAAGAAAGGACAGAAGCTGGTCAGGCCAAGAGGGCATTGCAGTGGTTCTGGCAAATGATAATGGTTCAAAGCAGGGTAGTGGCAGAGATGGGGAGAGCCACTGGTTTCTGGATATATTATTTTAGTACAACCAGCAGCTTTCCTAATGAATTATGTATACATATGCCAAAAAGGGTGTTTGGAAAATAAAGGGATCAAAGAAGTCTTAGCTTTGTCCTGAGCTAACAGAAGGGAATTTCCATCCTCTGAGAAGATAAAGGCTATGGGGAAAGCCGTGTGGAGGAAGATGGTGGCTGGGACTTCAATTCTGAACTTACTGAGATTGAAACGTCTATTTTGATGTCCAGAGGTCCCTGCTATCTGAGATCCCAGCAGATGCATTAAGCTGCAGAGAGTATTGTATGAGACCACACACATGCAATACTTTCCCCTGTACAGACACACCTACGTTAAAGTTTAATTATAAATTAGGCATAGTAAGTGATTGACAGGCATGACTAATAACAACATAGAAAGGTGCTAGGGACATAGGTCAGTAGATAGACCACTTGCCTAGAATGCATGAGACCCTGGGTTCAGTCTTCAGCACTGCATAAAACCAGGTGTAGTGATGGACCCCTATAATCTCAGTACTTGAGAGATGGAGGCAGGAGGATCATAAATTCAAGGTTTTCCTTAGCCACATATCAAGTTCCAAGTCAGTCTGAACTATCCAAGAACCTTTCTCAAAAACAAAACAAAAAATGAAAAAAAGAGCAATTATAATGACTTGCTATACTAAAGAGTATGTGATCTCTCTCTGTCCATTATTGTATATTTTCCCCTTTCACTCAATGAAAATACTATCGCTTTTTTTTTTTCAGCATTATGACTTGTACCTTTGACCAATATTGATTAAAATAAGAGTGAACACAGGTGTATAACAATCTGATAATTAAGGTGGCTACCAGGTGATCAGTGGGTAGGCAGCATATACAGCTGGACAAAGGCTCTCACATCACATCCCAAGTGGGATGGAATGAGATGGAGATTTCACCATGCTTCCCAGAATAGCGCACCATTTAAAACTTAGGAGGCTGTTTATTTCTGGATTTTCCATTTAATATAGCCACACAATGGTTGACCACCACAGGTAACTGAAACCACAGAAAGTGAATCCATGGATATGGGAAACTATTGTATGCCAATTATATATTGGATTTAACTGCCAAGCTTAAGAGAAAACTCAGAAAAGGGGTTCAAATTCAGAAGCTATTAGCGAATAGATGGTTTTGAATCTTGAGACTGGTAAGACCCCATGCTTTCAGGACCAATGAAATTGTCTTAGTCTTCACCGAATGATCTTTTATTGCCCTCCCTGCTACAATAAGTTAGGCCAAATCAGTGCTTTTCGTGTGTTCTTGGAGCACTGGGGTTCTAGAGATGAGCCATTGTTTGCTTCCCATTGCCAGAGCCAACAAGTGGCCCCATATTTTTACAATGAAAAGATATGCATTTAGAGATGGTACAAACTGGTCTTTATGATGTGTCAAGTACAGTGAATGAAATGTGTAGAGGAGAGAAACATTCTAGCAATTGTTGTCTTATTTAAAAAGGACCCCACATATCTTTGCATGGCTGGTCATCTATCAAAAGGCTCTTTACTAATATTACAAAATCATAATAGTATAGTTATGCTAACAAGGCTTTCCATAGTCAACATGTGCTCCAAGTTTCGTCCCTGAAACGTTTTCCTGAAAATAAAATTTAAAGTGGGAAAGAGTCTACTTCTTTTTGAGTTCATTGATTGAAGTAGGCCAGGTACAATTGGTAATTTCACCACAGAAAAACACATGAAATACATTCAGGAAGCTGAGGTGGTAGGATTACAAGTTTGAGGCCAGCCTAAGGGAGAGGTGGGATGGAAGGACGGAAGAACAGAGGGAGGGACAGAGGGAGGCAGGAAGCTGAGGTGGTAGGATTACAAGTTTGAGGCCAGCCTAAGGGAGAGGCGGGATGGAAGGACGGAAGAACGGAGGGAGGGACAGAGGGAGGGAGAAAGGGAGGGAGGGAGGAAGGAAGGAAGGAAGGAAGGAAGGAAGGAAGGAAGGAAGGAAGGAAGGAAGGAAATTAGTATTATGGAAGGACTTTGGAGATCAGTCAGTTACCCTCCCTTCACAGTGGGGAGTCAAGGCCAAAAAGTCAAAGGTTACTCTGAAACCGGAACCTAGGTTTCAGAGTCAAGCCCTAGTCAAGTCTTCTGACTCCTAGAATTATAAATTATGTCAGGAAAGCTGGATGTGATAGCACATGTCTGCAATTCCAGCACTCAGGAGGTAATGGCAGGAGGATCAGAAGTTCGAGCTCATCCTTTGCTACAAGAATTCAAGGCCCACCTAGGCTGTTAGACCTTGTCTCAAAAAACAAGCAGAAATATTGCTATACATAAAAAAGTATTTCTAATTTTTAAATTAAGGCAAAAGTCAATAATGATATGTGAGCTTCATATCGTCTTAATGTGTTAACTTTACATTAATACATTTCCCATCTTCCAGTCCTAAGGGTAATCCTTGCCATCACCTTTTGCCTGGTATCTGGTGTCCTAGTCATCCTGCTGTTTGTCCTCATCCGCCATGGGCCCTGCTGGCAGAGAGACGTCTATCGGAATATCTGAACAGACAGCTGACCTCCTGCAACAGCATCTCTCAGTGATGCAGCATCCAAAGGACCAGCTTCTGCCTTGTGGGCATTGCCTGAGCGCACCCTCTTGTTGGAACCTGCCTAGAGCAAGATGTGAGCTCACAGCCACAGGGGAGAGCTGCTGGGCTGGCCGGTTAGTTAGGGCTTCTCACCAGTGGTTGAGCGGTGGTGTGTGATGCACACAGGGGTAGAAGGAGGCTCTTCCACAGGGGATCGTTCTGTCCTCTGACACAGAGGTCCAGAGAGAAAGAAGAAGCTAAGTCCTAATCCACCTTGTGCTTGCAAAAAGCAAAGGGAGAGAAAGTGGGACCAAGACATAGATTAGGCGAGTGGGAAATGGGGAATGTTAGAACAGAAGTAGAAGAGTCAATGAGAAATTGTAAACTTTTCTTTAGCTATTCAGTAGGCTTCACACACACACACACACACACACACACACACACACACACACACACACACACACACACACACACATATATACACACACACCTGGAATTTTAATTCCTAACCAAGAGTTTGATAACTAACAGTTCTAAATGTGTACACCTAATACACACATACATATATTTATATTCAAAATGCCTTTAGGAATGGTTGGTACTTAATTCTAGGAAACTACAATGTCAACCACTTGAAGCATGCTCAGGTCATTTTCTTACAAAGTCTATATTGAATAATAACTGGGAAGCCCACAAACTAAAGTTCTTTTTACTTCTGCTGCTAGAGCCTGATTTTTATAGTTTGTAATACCTTCACTTTAGAATAATGATATCTTGCATTCATAATGGCTGTTCTTGGCCATGGTGAAAGGATAATAGGTTTTAATTGCCACAAATATAGCCAATTTTTGTTTTTATTTATTTATTTTTTTTGCTCTAATAATGGAACTCCAATCCCTGGGTCTCATGCATGCCAGGAGAGTGCTTGACCACTGAACTACACTCTCAGCCCTCTCCATTTTTTTATATTTTATTTTTATTTATGTATATTGGGGGGTAGGAGATATGTATGCATACATGTGGGAGCCGAAGAAGTCAGAAGAGAGTGTTAGGCCTCCTGGATTTGGAGTTACAGGTAGTTATGAGCCACCTAACATGGGTGCTGGGAACCAAATTCCAGTCTTCTGTAAAAACCAGCAAGTGTTCTTCACTGATGAGCCAGCGTCGAATTTTATACACAGTGAGGTAGAAAGAAAAGTAGGCAGAGTGTTGATGACCTTCAAGAATTGAAACAAGTTCTTTCATGCCTTAAATCATAATTTCTTAATCTAAAATGGAAGAATCTAGACTACCTGAACATAGAAATCACATCTAGATTTCATTTTCTATGAACAACTTTTTTCACTTTAGCTACAGGGAAGTCATTGTCCATACAAACACTTTCACAGTGTCCTCTGCCATGATGGAGGCCCACAGAGAACAAGAAGGCAAATTCCAATCCGCCTTGTACCTATAAAGAGCAAAGAGAGAGAAAGTGGGACCAAGACAGAGACGCATCCATTAAACTACTAGGGCACTGATTAATATTCAGTTTATAGAATTAATTAGTCTCCGCTCTGAACACTCACTCATTCAGTTGGTGAGAAATTCAGTCTCCTTCCTCAGTGGGGTGCTCCACCTCCTCAGGGTTGACTAAAGATCTCAGAGTATACCTGGTGGGAGAAGTCAGAAGTGTCCTCTGGGCCTCTGTTCATTCTGGTCCCCAGTAAGCTCACTGTCCATGCCCATGTGCTTTTCTGAAGATCAATAGAGCCGTCCACACCATGGGTCTCAACACCGTACTCAGAGTTCACCTTGCAGGACTGTCTGGATGACTGTGGGATGCTGGAGTCGTGGAGACCTAGCACCGAGTTCTGCTTTCCATTCAGATCCCATCCCATCACTCGAGCCACACAGCTCCCCACTCTAAGCACAAGCACACTGCTTGTACTTTTTACACCATGCTCACTGAACCAAAGCTGACACAAACAGGAGTCTGGAACGAGGTTTTCTTTTTTCTTTTTGGGGGGTTTGGGGAATGGAACCCAGGGCCTCATTCATACTAAACAAGTGCTCTACCACAGTGTGCACCCCCACTTACCCCTGAGGCATTAATTTCTGTTGCCTGACAACTTGTGATTCTGACTGCAACACAAAAGTTCCACAGTGGGCAAGAAAACAAAAAAGTAAGCTGTGGTTATGTTCTTAGCTTAAGAAAGGGAAAAATTATAATGGCAAGAACAAAGGATATGTTTCTGTCTTGACAATGTAGCCAGCCACATGCACAATTAAGCAGTAATAGTTTGTGCTCATAAGTGATAACACTTAAAAAATAGAAATATAAACACCACAAGTCATAGATTTTTCTCATGTATTCAACAAACATGGATGTAGAACCTACTATTGATGTTCACAAACCCAGATTCTGAACTGTCCATTCCTGATGGATTCGTGAGGTGTTTGGTTCCAGTGACAGTCTCATACAGCATTGCTAGAATGTAAAAGGAAAAGCCTTCTCCACCATTTACCCATATCATCTTTTAATGGAGTAACTTAAATTAAGACCTCTACTTTCTGTTGGTTCTAAGGGGTTTCTTCCTAGCCTCCTCTATCTACTCTCTCTCTCTCTCTCTCTCTCTCTGTCTCTCTCTCTGTGTGTCTCTCTGTCTCTGTCTCTCTGTCTCTTCCTCTCCCCCTCCCTCTCTCCCTCCCTCTCTCTCTCTCTCACTCTCTGGTGTATATATGTATGTGATTATGTATGTAGTATGTATATGTGTGTTGTGTATGGTATACGTTCATGTGTGTGTGCTAGTGCCCCTGTGTGTGCAGAGATCAGAGGAGGATGTCAGGTGTCCTGCTGTGTCACTCTCCATATTATTCCCTTGAGACAGCCCCAGGGATCCTCCTGTCTCTGTCCCCCACAGCACTGGGGTTATAGAAGCACACAGGGGCACACCCTGGTTTTTACGTGGGTGCTGGGGATTTGAACTCTGCAAGCCATCTCTTTTGATCACACTAAAGAAGGTTCTCTTGCCGGGCATGGTGGCGCACCCCTTTAATCCCAGCACTTGGAAGGGAGAGACAGGTGGATCTCTGTGGGTTCAAGGCCAGCTTGGTCTACATAGTGAGTTCCAGGCCAGCTGGGGCTACAGGGAGACCCTGTCTCAAAAAGGCAAAAAGAAAAGAAGGAAGGAGGGAGGGAGGGAGGGAGGGAGGGAGGAAGGAAGGAAGGAAGGAAGGAAGGAAGGAAGGAAGGAAGGAAGGAAGGAAGGAAAAGAAAAAGCTCTTAGGGTCAACACAACTGTTCCCTTTACCGTCTCCAGAATGACTCTACTGGTAAATACCATCACTGTTTTTCATGCTTTGGGCAGAAGGAAGAATCACAAATGGCAAATGATCTAGAGTGATAAAGAACCCAGATGAACTGTAGAGCATCTCAGATGATCAGCCAATAATGCAACTTCAACAAGAGAGGGTGTGCAGTCTCCCTGCTATAGTACTGTGCAGATGGGACAGATGTGGCCATTCCAGTTGCCATTGAGATAAATATACTGAAAGATAATCATGAAAGTAGAGCTCACCTCTGTTCTGACATGAGAGGCCTCTAAGTAGATTCACATGGGGCATATAAAATCATATGCTAACTACATAAAATATTAGCAATGCTAACTACATAAAATATTAGCAATACCTACACAAAAGTCCTAAGAGAGCGATGCGGGGGAATAGCCCTAGCTATAAAGGCAGAGTGAAGGCAAAGAGTTAAGGGAATGTAATTATGAAAAAATACTGCCTAAGAAAACTTTTCAAGAATTAGGCTCCAGCATGTTACTGGAATTCACTCAACAGCTTTTTAAATTAAAACTGGCATTTCTCTGAATCCCATTGTGTTTCCTATCCTCTCAACTTCCTGCTTTTTTTCTGTCTTGTTCTAATATTGTTAGCACTGATTCTTCAGGGAGGCTGTGAAGTCAACGCAGCTTTTTTCTCTTTTAAAAGCTCTACAGACACCAGGCATAGTGGCACAGGCCTTTAAACTGGGCACTCGGAAGGTAGAGGCAGGCAGAATTCTGTGAGACTGAGGCCAGCCTGATCTACACAGCAAGTTCCAGGCCAGAGAGGGCTATAGGAAGACCCTGTCTCAAAACAACAAAACAAAATAAACAAAAACTCCAACTCTACAGAAACTTGATTGAGCGATAATTTATGTGTAGCATGTTGATGGTTTAGATCAGGGCTAAAAGACACAGTGAAATCACACACGTGGTTTTAAATGTTTGAATAGCCACATTTATAAAGGTAATTTTTAAAAATGAATTCTAACAATGAACTTTATTTAACACAGCACATCTAATTTCAACCTGTAATTGATATCCAGAAAGTGTTGATGTGATATTTTTATGGGCCTTTTTCATACTAGGTATTTAAAATCTGATGTGATGTACATTTTACCCTTGAATCACCTCTTAACTTGGACTAACTGCCTTTCAAGTCTCAGTAGTTATTTGTGGCTAGTGGGTTCCATATTGAGTGGTTCTGATCTAGGCAATTAGATGGCAACCTTTTTTAAAGCACAGAAAACATGTTCGTTGTTTTTTGAGTTATTGCGAAGAAAAAAATACCACCTTTAGGGCTATTATATAGCTCAGTTATAGAGTGCTTATCTTATATAGGCAAGGCCCTGAGTTCCATTGCCAGCACCAAAATACAATAAAATAAGAGAAAATCATCTTTATTATGTGGCCGCATTATTTTTGCCTTTCACTGAACTGAAGATTTGTCTGAAACGTTTTATTTGTAAACTCTCTTAACAGCAACTGCCAAGTCCTATTCCAAACTGATCCCATGTTTAATGGACTAATTCCTCTTATTATTAAATCTCTTAAGAAGGAAACAGCTAACAGATGTGGAGTGTATGCTTTAAAACTAGAGAGATGACTCAGCAGGTGAGATGGCTTGCCTGATGACCAGAGTTCAATGCCCAGAGCCCACTTAA